ATCAAACTTGCACGTAACGTTATCGATAGAAATCCCACTGCTCTAATATTTTGTTCCAATATCCATATTTTATCCATTTGGATTTTTCACCATTATTCCCCTACTGAACTCAAATCCGGCCCTGAAAACGGAAAGGCCTCTTTCTTTTTGCTATCTCTGTAATATATTGCTTCCTCATATTGAAAAAAAAACATATCCTTCTTTAATGGGGACTGTGCACGCCAAAGCAATCAAAACCAGACGATGAAAACGATTCGGAGACGGAAAAAAGATATATTCCGAAAATAAAAGCTGTCATCTACCCTGTTATATAAAACGTAAATTTACAACTAAATGTGTATTTATTCTGTCCCTGCTTGAAGTGGTGGTGGTAGAGAAAGTAATCAGCATGCATTCAGTCCATTTCCCCCACGTTGCTGCCATAGATTAAGGTAGCGCACAGACTGTCCATGTAGCATCACGGGGTTAATATGGGTTCTTCATGACCGTACACTTCGAAACAAATAAGTAACCATCGGTCCAATAATTAACAGTAAAGACGCAAACGACAACAAAGGCTACAACGCCACCGGAGTCCGTGTATTTCCTTTCGCTGACTGTACCCTCTTCCCAAACATAAATTCCCACCAGAGGTGGAGCTGTCGACTATCTGATGCGCCCTGTCTGAAGCGTCCAATTGTATTTACCTATGGGATATTACCCTCTTTGTGATTGGATGAAGAGGAACCGCTCGTATAATACATATAAGTCTATTGGCAGCATGGAAAGCGCAGCGCACTCTCGTCCCCCTTTGTCACTGTAGTACAGTGGTTCCCAACCAGGGGTACTAGGACCCCTGGTGGTACTTGGCCTATCCACAGGGGGTACTTGAGAAGACTCATGTGACCATAGGCGTACTGGTAAAATGCACATGAGGGGGTACTTCAGGGGTACTCTGGGCAGAGCAAAATTCAGTTGGTGGTACAGTAAGCGAAAAAGGTTGGGAACCACTGCTGTAGTATACCCCTGGGCAAAGAAGTCAGTTCAAAGTTGACTGATATTTGAGTGAGTTGTCAACACAAGTAAATATAGGGTATTTCAACTAAACCTTTATTGAACCTTGTATGTTTTGGGTTAAAGCTGGATGAAATAAATAAAATGGTGTTATGTTGACGTTTTGAAGATTCAATCTAAAAGCATGATGATGCAAATGAGTGATTTGGTGAAATTGTGTAGAAAGAATGTTGACTCAACCATTTTGCCCTATTTCCCGAGGTCGTATTTGATTGGGTAGGTCTTGCTTGTTTACATACTAGCCTAGGGTTAGATAGGGTTTAGATTACCCTATCACAGATAATCCTATCACCAGATGACCCTGTCACAGATATAATGTATTTATAGGCTACATAGGTTTTCTTATATTAAAATACCAATTGTACAGTGTAAACTACAGGTAACATGATTAGTGTATAATTGCAGAGATAACTTCTGCATCAATGGAGAACAGAATGTAAATGTGGCTTACTTTGTCATGATATTAATAGGCCTACTTTGGAACAAATGTAAATCAGATATATGCTAGTCTGGACACATTTAGATGTGTATCTTTATTGCATTGTTGTTCTACATTGTTCAGATTCTAAAGGAAGTCATCAAGGTGGACGGCCTAGATGGAGTAGGGGTGAGGAGTATAGGCAAACCTTCTTAAAGGAGCAATCCGCAGATGAAACAATAACAAAGCCGTCAACCCACCTCTGTTTTGGTTAAAAAAAACTGAGGGATGAGCATGGAGAAATGTAACCACTCTTAAATTCATAGACAGAGCTATTGATGCATGGACTGACCATCCAATATATCAAAATTATAGTTTTAAACTTGTTGAGGCTATACAGGGTTTGTTTACATTTAAAATGTTTACAAACATTGGAGTATAACAAGCTCATATTTTGGGTTCTGATGGGGTACAACAGTTGAACTAAGCTCATGAGACATTTATAAGTTATATTCTTCAAGAATCAATGGGTATATATCATTAATTCATAAGTCCAGACATGGATGTGGCAACTGCAGATTGGCCCTTTAAACAAATATGTCATTTGCAGAGAGTATTTTCACTAAATTCCTTAACAAGAAACAGGCCTCACAGAACAATAAATACGTTGGCCCCTTCCCAAATGACACCCTATCCCCTAGTGCACTACTTCTGACCCCTGGACTTTGACTTCGAGAGAGAGAAAAAGCCTCATCCAACCATGAGGTCATGATAGGATAAGGGATGTATTATTTGGTACAGTAATGTGTGTGTGTGTGTGTGTGTGTGTGTGTGTGTGTGTGTGTGTGTGTGTGTGTGTGTGTGTGTGTGTGTGTGTGTGTGTGTGTGTGTGTGTGTGTGTGTGTGTGTGTGTGTGTGTGTGTGTGTGTGTGTGTGTGTGTGTGTGTGTGTGTGTGTGTGTGTGTGTGTGTGTGTGTGTGTGTGCGTGAGAGAGTGCTCCAGTCCAAAAGTAGGTCATGCATGGGAGCTCCAGGCCAGCAAAGGCAAACTATGGGGCAAGGATTTACATCTGCAGCTAAACACTGTTACAGTACTGATGCTGCAACATGAACTCACTGCATACAGTACAGTCCTTGTGGCAGCCAGCTTGTATCAAGATAGATAGAGGAATCAAAGAGAAAAATAACACCAATCTTGTAGAAATAATAGAGGTACTCCATTTCACAAGCAAAATGTTGTTTCACATTTTTTAAAGGATTCTTTAAATGGATGTAAGATGTGTTTACACTAATACACTTTTCTACATTTCAGGTTCTCTATGATTGTAACTGAAACTTTACTACACCTATTATTTCAACTGCCAAGTCAAAGGGTATTCATTTCAATTAATGATTTCCCCAGCACAGCGTTTTCACCACAGACTAGTCCCAGTGTAGACATGCTTTTCGTCAACGGGACCCTAGAGGAGCCAGCCAGGAAGCCACTAATACAGCACAGGTGAGTCTTCCATTGTTTCCCAGGAGACCCACACTCATGTTTTTGTGTGTCTGGCTGTCTGGCTGTCTGTGTGTGTGTTTCTGTGTGTGTGTGTGTGTGTGTTTGTGTGTGTGTGTGTGTGTGTGTGTGTGTGTGTGTGTGTGTGTGTGTGTGTGTGTGTGTGTGTGTGTGTGTGTGTGTGTGTGTGTGTGTGTGTGTGTGTGTGTGTGTGTGTGTGTGTGTGTGTGTGTGTGTGTGTGTGTGTGTGTGTGTGTGTGTGTGTGTGTGTGTGTGTGTACTGTGTGCTCAGTCACCACCATCACATGTCATCCCACAGGGAGGAGTCCAAATAACAATTATGGCTCAGAGATTAGCAGAGGTGCACTCTAAGCAGAATCAATTACAGGTTTTTTTTCTCCCAAAGGAACATTTGCATTTACGTCAGACGACATTTCTTAAAACAGGAAGGACAAACTATTCACTCCTCCTGCCATTTGTTCACTTTATCAGCCATATGCCTTATGTGTTGTCATTTCAAATCTGATACTATATTCTCATTTCAAATGTGATTCTTTATATGTCAAATCAAATCAAAACACATTTTATTTGTCACATGCGCCGAATACCGTGAAATGCTTACAAGCCCTTAACCAACAATGCAGTTTTAAGAAAAATAAGAGTTAAGAAAATATTTACTAAATAAACTAAAGTAAAAAAAAAAAGTAACACAATAAAATAACAATAACGAGGCTATATACGGGGGGTACCGGTACCGAGTCAATGTGCGGGGGTACAGGTTAGTCGGGGTAATTGAGGTAATATGTACATGTAGGTATGGGTAAAGTGACTATGCATAGATAATAAACAGAGAGTAGCAGCACCGTCAATGCAAATAGTCTGGGTAGCCATTTGATTAATTGTTCAGCAGTCTTATGGCTTGGGGGTAGAAGCTGTTAAGCTGTTAAGCTGTCACTGGCATTACATTATATGTACAACGTTATATGGCATTACAATTACATTTTTTCCAAGTTCTTCAGTGCCTCCAGACTGCAGTACTGTAACAATACACCAAACATTCCTGTGTGTTTGTCACCACCCTGCGATGAAAATATGCTATTACATACAATAGTGACAGTAAGCTACAACAAACCTTTGCACACTGGGAAAATGAGTATTCACAACTATCCTCTCCTACCCATTTCCATGAACTACTGGATGTGGCGCTATTTCCTATGAAATTGTGAATGTAGGCCCTACCTTAAAATATTTTAAATGTGAACAGAAATCACAACATTTTGCCTCAAGAAGAGATACAAATTGGTTCACTACATCATAAATAATCATTGTACACATAATCACTCGATGGAGTGATCTTTGGGTGGTCAAAACACCTGTTTAACTTGAGATGATAACTTGAAAAGTAAACCTGCCATGTGAACTTCATATCAACATAAACCTCTTGTTTTAGAAACCAGATACAGAAACTACAGAATCCTCTCTCCATATTGATTCTCGACCCCCAGTCCCTAGTCATAGTGATTATAAAGAAGAGCCCTCTCAGTAGTCTGAGTGTGGTTCATCTCCAGCATCTTCCCCTCTGTTCTCTCAGACCCCTACCCAGGAGTTGTCGTGCCTACATTCAGTCACACACAATTCAAGCAGCAGACCGTCTTGGCTGAAACCTGATCAAGCCTACACAGGAGTGTATAGCAGGCCCATTGGTGGCCTGTGAAACTCAAGCCCTCTAGTTTATGAATGTTTCATTTAACCGCGTCTCAGGTTTAGTCTGACAAACAGTAGCTAGCAGTCCACTGCAACTCCATCATTACCATACACCAGGTAGAGAGTACTTAAATACTGTAAAGAAATACGATGGCTACTGCAGCGTAAAATTAGAACAAGGAAGCCAGGTATCTATTTTGTACCTTTGGATTATAATTTCTTGATTGTGCATTTATTTGCTGTCAAATAAGAGTTACATGGTTTGACTGAGTGTATTTTTTGAATGGTTGTATTGGTTTGAATCTAATTTACCATTGTCCCCCCTCTTTCTCCAGCAGGTAATGGTTGTAGGATGTCTGAACCAAGGCAGCGCTCTCTGTCCACCTCGGGAGAGTCTCTGTATCAAGTTCTGGGGCTAGAGAAAGGCTGTAACCATGATGACATCAAGAAGTCCTACAGGTGGGAATTGACAACAAAGGCACCAGCAGTTCACATCGATCTATCTATCTATCTATCTATCTATCTATCTATCTATCTATCTATCTATCTATCTATCTATCTATCTATCTATCTATCTATCTATCTATCTATCTATCTATCTATCTATCTATCTATCTATCTATCTATCTATCTATCTATCTATCTATCTGGCTACACTGAGTGAACAAAATATTAAGAACACCTGCACTTTCCATGACATAGACCAACCAGGTGAATCCAGGTAAAATCTATGATCTATTATTTATGTTACATGTTAAATCCACTTCAATCAGTGTAGTTGAAGTGGAGGAGACAGGTTAAAGAAGGATTTTAAAGTCTTGAGACAATTGAGACATGGATTGTGTATGTGTGCCATTCAGAGGGCCTCCTGTAGCTCAGTTGGTAGAGCATGGTGCTTGCAACGCCAGGGTTGTGGATTCGAATCCCACGGGGGACCAGTATGAAAAATATATGCACTCACTAACTGTAAGTCGCTCTTGATAAGAGTGTCTGCTAAATGACTAAAATGTAATGGGCAAGATAAAATATTTAAGTGTCGGCCAACTTGACCCAACTGTGGGAAGCATTGGAGTCAACATGGGCCAGCATCACTGTGGAACGCTTTAAACACCTTGTAGAGTCCACATCTATATCTATCACTATCACATTTATCACATCTATATGATAATGGTATGATCGTCTGTTCCAGTATCTCAGAAACGGCCGGCCTCCTGGGCTTTTTACTCATGACAGTGTATAGGGTTTACCGAGAATGGTGCGACAAACAAAAAACATCCAGTCAGCGGCAGTCCTGTGGTCGAAAACCGCTTGTAGATGAGAGGTCGAAGAAGAATGGCAAAAATTGTGCAAGCTAACAGGCAGGCCACAAACAGACAAATAACAGCGCAGTACAACAGTGGTGTGCCGAACGTCATCTCGAAACGCACAACTTGTCGGTCCTTGTCAAAGATGGGCTATTGCAGTAAATGACCACACCTGGTTCCACTCCTATCAGATGAAAACAAGAAGAAGCGTCTCCAGTGGGCACGCGATCACCAACACTTAAAGAAGGATTTTTAAGCCTTGAGTCAATTGAGACATGGATTGTGTATGTGTGCCATTCAGAGGGTGAATGGGCGTAGACAAAAATATGTAAGTGCCTTTGAATGGGGTATGTTAGTAGGTGCCAGGCGCACCGGTTTGTGTCAATAACTGCAACGCTGCTGGGTTTTTCATGCTCAACAGTTTCCTGTGTGTATCAAGAATCTCTTGGGGTATGTCTCTATAAGCTTGGCACATCTAGCCACTGGGAATTTTGCCCATTCTTCAAGGCAAAACTGCTCCAGCTCCTTCAAGTTGGATGGGTTCCGCTAGTGTACAGCAATCTTTAAGTCATACCACAGATTCTCAATTGGATTGAGGTCTGGGCTTTGACTAGGCCATTCCAAGACATTTAAATGTTTCCCCTTAAACCACTCAAGTGTTAATTTAGCAGTACGCTTAGGGTCATTGTCCTGCTGGAAGGTGAACCTCCGTCCCAGTCTCAAATCTCTGGAAGACTGAAACAGGTTTCCTTCAAGAATTTCCCTGTATTTAGCGCCATCCATCATTCCTTCAATTCTGACCAGTTTCCCAGTCCCTGCCGATGAAAAACATCCCCACAGCAGTTGTCGGAAGTTTACATACACTTAGGTTGGAGGCCATAATGACCATCGTTATGTTTGGAGGAAAAAGGGAAAGGCTTGCAAGCCGAAGAACACCATCCCAACCGTGAAGCACGGGGGTGGCAGCATCATGCTGTGGGGGTGCTTTGCTGCAGGAGGGACTGGTGTACTTCACAAAATAGATGGCATCATGAGGAAGGAAAATTATGTGGATATATTGAAGCAACATCTCAAGACATCAGTCAGGAAGTTAAAGCTTGGTCGCAAATGGGTCTTCCAAATGGACAATGACCCCAAGCATACTTCCAAAGTCGTGGCAAAATGGCTTAAGGACAACAAAGTCAAGGTATTGGAGTGGCCATCACAAAGCCCTGACCTCAATCCTATAGAAAATGTGTGGGCAGAACTGAAAAAGCGTGTGCGAGCAAGGAGGCCTACAAACCTGACTCAGTTACACCAGCTCTGTCAGGAGGAATGGGCCAAAATTCACCCAACTTATTGTGGGAAACTTGTGGAAGGCTACCCGAAACGTTTGATTCAAGTTAAACAATTTAAAAGGCAATGCTACCAAATACTAATTGAGTGTATGAAAACTTCTGACCCACTGGGAATGTAATGAAAGAAATAAAAGCTGAAATAAATCATTCTCTCTACTATTATTCTGACATTTCACATTCTTAAAATAAAGTGGTGATCCTAACTGACCTAAGACAGGGAATTTTTACTAGGATTAAATGTCAGGAATTGTGAAAAACTGAGTTGAAATGTATTTGGCTAAGGTGTATGTAAACTTCCGACTTCAACTGTAAATACAGTGGGGAGAACAAGTATTTGATACACTGCCGATTTTGCAGGTTTTCCTACTTACAAAGCATGTAGAGGTCTGTAATTTTTATCATAGGTACACTTCAACTGTGAGAGACGGAATCTAAAACAAAAATCCAGAAAATCACAGTGTATGATTTTTAAGTAATTAATCTGCATTTTATTGCATGACATAAGTATTTGATACATCAGAAAAGCAGAACTTAATATTTGGTACAGAAACCATTGTTTGCAATTACAGAGATCATACGTTTCCTGTAGGTCTTGACCAGGTTTGCACACACTGCAGCAGGGATTTTGGCCCACTCCTCCATACAGACCTTCTCCAGATTCTTCAGGTTTCGGGGCTGTCGCTGGGCAATACAGACTTTCAGCTCCCTCCAAAGATTATCTATTGGGTTCAGGTCTGGAGACTGGCTAGGCCACTCCAGGACCTTGAGATGCTTCTTACGGAGCCACTCCTTAGTTGCCCTGGCTGTGTGTTTCGGGTCGTTGTCATGCTGGAAGACCCAGCCACGACCCATCTTCAATGCTCTTACTGAAGGAAGGAGGTTGTTGGCCAAGATCTCGCGATACATGGCCCCATCCATCCTCCCCTCAATACGGTGCAGTCGTCCTGTCCCCTTTGCAGAAAAGCATCCCCAAAGAATGATGTTTCCACCTCCATGCTTCACGGTTGGGATGGTGTTCTTGGGGTTGTACTCATCCTTCTTCTTCCTCCAAACACGGCGAGTGGAGTTTAGACCAAAAAGCTATATTTTTGTCTCATCAGACCACATGACCTTCTCCCATTCCTCCTCTGGATCATCCAGATGGTCATTGGCAAACTTCAGACGGGCCTGGACATGCGCTGGCTTGAACAGGGGGGCCTTGCGTTTGCTGCAGGATTTTAATCCATGACGGCGTAGTGTGTTACTAATGGTTTTCTTTGAGACTGTGGTCCCAGCTCTCTTCAGGTCATTGACCAGGTCCTGCCGTGTAGTTCTGGGCTGATCCCTCACCTTCCTCATGATCATTGATGCCCCACGAGGTGAGATCTTGCATGGAGCCCCAGACCGAGGGTGATTGACCGTCATCTTGAACTTCTTCCATTTTCTAATAATTGCCCCAACAGTTGTTGCCTTCTCACCAAGCTGCTTGCCTATTGTCCTGTAGCCCATCCCAGCCTTGTGCAGGTCTACAATTTTATCCCTGAAGTCCTTACACAGCTTTATGGTATTGGCCATTGTGGAGAGGTTGGAGTCTGTTTGATTGAGTGTGTGGACAGGTGTCTTTTATACAGGTAACGAGTTCAAACAGGTGCAGTTAATACAGGTAATGAGTGGAGAACAGGAGGGCTTCTTAAAGAAAAACGAACAGGTCTGTGAGAGCCGGAATTCTTACTGGTTGGTAGGTGATCAAATACTTATGTCATACAATAAAATGCAAATTAATTACTTAAAAATCATACAATGTGATTTTCTGGATTTTTGTTTTAGATTCAGTCTCTCACAGTTGAAGTGTACCTATGATAAAAATTACAGACCTCTACATGCTTTGTAAGTAAGAAAACCTGCAAAATCGGCAGTGTATCAAATACTTGTTCTCCCCACTGTATGTAGGGGAGTGTATGTGTTATGCCCCTATGACCTATTTTGTCGGAAATGGTAGCTGACATGCTATTATTAAATGCAGACACGAATAACCCTTAATCATATTCATGTTTTATATTCTCTGAACTGTATTCATTCCGAATTTTGATCCTGCGTTAGCCATTTTTATGAACATCACTAACTCTGAAGTAGTTTATAATAGTAAAAAATACATTTTCATGTTCACTCACCTCATCAGACGCCACATCTCCCCTGTGTTGTCTTCTGCCAGACACTAGATGGGGTGGTGGGCTTAGCTCCAGCAGGGCTAATCAAATCGTTCATTAACTAACCTATACAAACAAGTGTGTGTCTAGATATGTCAATGAAATACAAGCTAGAGAGCGAGCATAGAGCTGTAGGGTAAACACTAAACAGACAATACAACCTCTAGCTTTACACACCATCTCTCCTCCAGTTTCTGAAACCACAAATGAGAGGTTCACCAATTCTGCTGTCCATTTTCTACCCTGATTTTTATCCAATTAAATCAATATTATTGAGTGTTCATTAATTTACTTTTGAATGCCTTTCAGAAAATTAGCTCTGAGATACCACCCGGACAAGAACCCTGACAACCCAGAGACGGCAGATAAATTCAAGGAGCTCAACAGCGCTAATTCCATTCTGTCAGACATCACAAAGAGAAACATCTATGACAGCTACGGCTCCCTTGGCCTTTACGTTGCCCAGCAGTTTGGAGAGGAGAATGTCAACACCTACTTCATGCTCTCTACCTGGTGGGCTAAGGTGAGCCTTCACAATCATACAGTCCCTGGATGATTTGATTGTGCATAGAGGGGAAAGAGTGCTGTGAGTCACTGCATGTGTGCGTGTGTGTCTGTGTGTATGTGTGTGTGTGTGTGTGTGTGTGTGTGTGTGTGTGTGTGTGTGTGTGTGTGTGTGTGCATTAGTTCATGATTGCATGTTGGTTTGTTTGTGTTGTGTTAACCTATATATCTCTCTCCTGTCAGGGTCTCTTTGCCCTGTGTGGCGTGATAACGGGGTGCTACTGCTGCTGCTGCCTGTGCTGCTGCTGTAACTGCTGCTGTGGGAAGCTGAAGCCCATGCACCCTGGAGAGGGAACAGATAGCTATGTCTCCCCTGAAGACCTGGAGGAGGAGATCCAGCACAACATGGAGACTGGTGAGGGGACACACTCAGTGAGGGCAGACACATATACAGAGACACACACACGCACACGCACACACACACACACACATAAACTCACACAGGCTCACACACAAGCATTTCACACTTGAGGAGGGCAAGAGGCAAAGGGAACAACAACTGATATAGTTAAAGTGTGCGGCTTGCAAGCACCAGTAGACAGATGGTCCCGTCACACCACTAACACACTTCACAAGAAGGAACTGATGACCAATGCCCACATGGTAAGGTGAGCTTACTTTACACAAACATGGAGGGAGGTGAAAGTTCATGACTACTGCCCACATACACAACAATGTATGACCAGACTAATTATCACTGTGAATGTTAGTTTTATTACATGTTTAAAATGTATGGGAAGCAGCGTAGCCAGATAAATAGCTAATTATTTCTGCCAACTCATCAATTATGGGAAGTTAAGGAGCAATTATGTACAATGTGTAGGTGTGCTGGATTTGTGTTGATGTGATACATCATTCTTGTGCCAGTCAGAATCATTTCCTATAACATCATGGGAAAATAATAGATGAACAAATCATTTCTAAACATACCTTTATATCTTCTGCAAACAACAAACAAACGAAACATACCGTTAAATAGCTTAAAGTTTAACATCAATGTATCCCTGAACAGAATGAGAGAAAATACCACAATAAGAAGGACAAATATATCTATGCTGATCATTTGATATTGTAGGGATTTTTTGTGTCATTATTCACATTGTTGTGTAATCCTAGATGTGGACACTCCAGTTGTGCACCAGCCAACTAATGCCAGTGAGAAGACACAGTTGATCGGGGATGGGTACCGAAGCTACACCTGAACTTGGATGTCTACAAACAGTAGAGAGGCACTTGACTACTTAAACACTACACAGCCCATTTCTATGTCAACGTCTGTTCCCACACTCAAACCCCATTACATTCTCTGGAAATCAGTGCTTTTTTTTTTCTTCTCTCACTTTTCTTGATTTCAGTTTTTTGGTTTTCATTGGATGTAGCTGATGTCATTGTTCCCCTGCAAAACCAATCCATCATCTCCATTCACTTAACTAAACACTCTGGAGTGCATTGGTTTTGCTTGTCACCTACACTGCAAATAGCTCAGTGTGTAAAGATTACGTGTATGTATAAAATACAACTAAAGCATTTTGTCGAAATTAAATGTATGATTTTATCTATCTATACAGTCAACATGAAAGGGTATCTGATTTATTGGTAAGAGTGTGGTATATATATTTTTAAAGTCTATAGCCTGAGGACAGGTTTTGAGTCAATGTGGGACTGGGGTATTGCTTACAGTATCATTCATTAATTCGTTAAAAAAATTAGGTGACCACTGTTTCGCAATAGATCATGTTTGTCATTGGGAGGTGGACTGGAGTCTTTTAACATTGATCTCAATCATTTCGCAGATGTAGGCTAACTTGCATATTTTCTACAAAAGCATTCTTGCATTATAGTGCAATTTTTACTGATTGACAACTCTAAACATAAGTTATAGCCCACTATTCAACAGTCAAAGCAGGAACTTGCCTGTGTTTGTTTGAAAGGCTCCATCCGGGGTGAAGTCTAGGTACAGCTCTAGGATCATTTCCCCCTCCCCCAATCCTAACCTTAACCATTAGTGGGGGAAATGCAAAACTGACCCAAGATCAGCATCTAGCGGCAACTTCAGCCTACTCTGTTTAGTAGCGGTATGGGCCTACCCCTTCCTGTTTCAGAGGTGGTAACAGCTGAACCCCCTAACCCTTCTCGTGACATTTTCATATATGGGCAAGTAAGCATGGCAACCCTTGACGTGGGGGTTTCTAAAAACAGCCTGTGACACTCAGTGGATTGCCAGCTAGGGAGCAATGTGATCCGTTAGAAGAAACTTTGAGGACAGCAACGAGCGCCTGAGCAGGCCCAGTGACTCTGCATTGTTCTAAAGAAGTAGACGTCTTTGATATTTGCCAAGTCAGTTCTTCAGGGATTGGGGGACCGTTGGGGGACCATTTGTTGGTATCCCTAAAGACCAGTAGTGTTTTTGTTTTTCCACTGTGCAATGAGTATCTCTCTGGGGTATTCACATTCCACAAAGCAAGACAGCACCATGGACAGCTTGGAGAAACAGCTCATTTGCCCTATCTGTTTGGAGATGTTTACCAAACCGGTGGTCATTCTCCCTTGTCAACACAATCTTTGTCGAAAATGTGCCCAAGATATTTTCCAGGTAGGTTGGTTATTTTACAGCTGAACTTTTAACCTTTTAACCTTTACTGCTGTCTCTTGATGGGCTACTTAAAGTTAAAGGTTTATCTCTGTCAAAAACCATTCATATACATGTACAGCATTCTGAAATTGTAGTGAAGGTATTGCTCATCCTTCAATTGTCACTGTTCAATTACCACTTGTTTGGTAATGTTGAAAATAAATAAAAAGTGTTTTGTCATCATGTATACCTCTTGACACATGCCATCTAACACACATGTTCAGTAACCAATGCAAATACTACTAACGGTAGGCCTATATTTTAAAAATTCCATGACCGGGTTTATCTAACGCCATTACTGATACACTGCTGTCCTGATCTGTGTAGGCCTCAAACCCTTATCTATCAACCAGAGGAACCACGGTGACTTCAGGGGGGCGTTTCCGCTGCCCGTCCTGCAGACATGAGGTGGTCCTGGACAGGCATGGTGTCTATGGCCTCCAGAGGAACCTGCTGGTGGAGAATATAATTGATATGTACAAACAGGAACAGGAGTCCTCAAGGTGAGGAAATAAAGGCCTAATAAGATAAGACGATGGGTCTAAGACAATAGGCCTAAGACAATGGGTCTAAGACAATAGGTATAAGACAATGGGTCTAAGACAATAGGCCTAAGACAATGGGTCTAAGACAATAGGTATAAGACAATGGGTCTAAGACAATAGGCCTAAGACAATGGGTCTAAGACAATAGGTATAAGACAATGGGTCTAAGACAATGGGCCTAAGACAGGCAGAATATCATTGATATATACAAATTGGAGTCCCCAAGGTGAGACACTACAGGCCTATTTAAAAAGATTGCGGCAGACAATCTAGTCGGAGGCACTCAGTAGCAGTCCCATGTATGTCTGGCCCATTAGACATACAGCAAACCCCCACACCAACAAATCTGGACATCAAGAAGACTACATACTATCCAGAACAACATATAGAATGAATCTGAAAACTACTGATGGGAAATTGAAAATTAAAGGAGAATATACAGAATGTACAAAACATTAAGAACACCTGCTATGACATAGACTGACCAGGTGAATCCAGGTGAAAGCTATGATCCCTTATTGATGTCACTTGTTAAATCCACTTCAATCAGTGTAGATGAAGGGGAGGAGCCAGGTTAAAGAAGGAATTTTAAGCCTTGAGACAATTGAGACATGGATTGTGTATGTGTGCCATTCAGAGAGTGAATGGGCAACACAAAAGTTTGAAGTGCCTTTGAATAGGGTATGGTAGTAGGTGCCAGGCGCAACAGTTTGTGTCAAGAACTGCAACGTTGCTGGTGTATCAAGAATGGTCCACCACCCAAAGGACATCCAGCCAACTTGACACAACTGTGGGAAGCATTGGAGTCAACATGCGCCAGCATCCCTGTGGAACGCTTTCAACACCTTGTAGAGTCCATGTCCCTACGAATTGAAGCTGTTCTGAGGGCAAAAGGGGGTGCAACTCAATATTAGGAAGGTGTTCTTAATGTTTTGTACACTCAGTGTATATTTGTTTTTGTAGAGCAACCATTGTGAAATCAGGGTTTGACTCATGGGTGGCTGGACAAGTAGCCTGTTAGTTTGATCTATTTTTATAAGGTAGGCCAATGAGGCAGCAGTCAGTTAAGAGAGGCCTATTTTTATTGCACTTTGAGCCTTACTACATTCTCTAGACATCAATATAGTATATATTCTGCTTTTAGGAGGGATAGACACACAAGTAGTTGACAAAAACATAATATGTTTTCAAAATACTTCTGTCACTAACTATACACTGTAGATTCCCTACAGAATACGTATCTACAGTAGCTTCATGTAATTCACTTACTGTAACTACATTCATGGTAGTCTCTGGAAAGACATAATCTGCTCCTGCTATTTTAGCATAATCAATGTCATGTTATTGAGTAGATTGCAGCGACAAGACAAATACCATTTTCACATGGACACGTTGTTTGAATCGGTGTGAAAAGCACAGCTCTGGGTACCAAGTACCAGCATTTTGGCCACAACAGTGTGATAATCAATCAACCATGGTTTACATACACAAGTGGCCTATTAAAAACAGTTATTCCAAATGTTAACATACTCTTGGTTGCCAAATAAACATACATTACAAAGTAATGGCTATTCTGACTTGCCAACATTCCATTAGGAGAAAGTCTGTCTGTACTACATTATTTTATTGACTTTTAAGTGACATTATTATGGCTTAAAGAGAGACACTTAGTATTTTAGTCTCAAAGACCGTTTTTGTGACTTTCCAGTGTGACAGACGTTACTGAGCTTGTTTAAAAGTGTTCTACCTGGATCCAAAAGTGTTCTACCTGGAACCAAAAGGGGTTCTTCAAAGGGTTCTCCTATGTGGACAGCCGAAGAACCCTTTTAGGTTCTAGATAGTACAATTTTTCTAAGAGTGTATTAAACGGGATCCCCAAAGTATGACTGTAACCTGTACTGTAGCCCTCTGGTTCAATCTGCAGCAGCAAGCCTGAGCCTGAGCCTGCCAAGTGTGACCAGCCCATGTGTGAGGAGCATGAGGATGAGAAGATCAACATCTACTGTGTGACGTGTGGCGTGCCCACCTGCTCTCTTTGTAAGGTGTTCGGAGCCCACAAAGACTGTGATGTGGCACCACTCAACACAGTGTTCAATAAGCAAAAGGTTAACTCATTTATTTTACATTTATATCTGTCTATCTCCTTTTTCATTATGATGCTTTACAGGTATACACTCTTTGCACCTTTTTTTCTATCTAGAACCTAAAAGGGAGAACCCTTTGAAGAACCCTTTTTTGGTTCCATGTAGAACCCTTTACACAGAGGGTTCTACATGGAAGCCAAAATAGTTCTACCTGGAACCAAAAAGGGTTCTTCTGCAATAAGGACAGCTGATTAACCCTTTTAGGTTCTAGATAGAAATAAATGAACCGACTATCAGAGTTGGTACATAAAATGTCCTTCTTTGTAAAAAAAACTCCTCTGTGTGTGTGTTCCAGACTGAGTTGACTGACTGTATAGCCATGCTAGTGGGGAACAATGACAGGATTCAAGGCATTATGAGTCAACTGGATGAGACCTGTAAGACCGTTGAGGTGAAGCATTCAACCTTTTCTCCTTTCCTATGTTCCATCTATAACAGCATTTCCACATTGTATAAAACTGCAATAATATTCATGGTAAAAAAATTTATTATTAATTTTTATGCACCCTAATTTTGACTTCTGACAATATCTATGACCCAGTTATCTGTCAGCTCGACCGTACAGTACAATCATGGTTGTCTTACAGGAGAATGGCAGGAGGCAGAAATCCAAGGTGTGTGAAAGTTTTGATCACCTTTATGCCATCCTGGAGGAGAAGAAAGGGGACATGACCCTGAAAATCAACGCAGAGCAACAGGAGAAACTGGACTATATAAACGGCCTCATGGGGAAGTATAGAGAGCACCTGGAGAACATGGCAAAGATCGTGGAGACAGGGATACAGACAATGGAGGAGTCAGAGATGGCTACTTTCCTGCAGGTGATGATACACTTTTTTTTGTCCAGGAGGGACAAGAATGTATTTTATCTAAAAAATAACAAATAACCACAGCATAATATAGGCATCTGAAATTCTGCATCAGTGATATATCAATATTATATTAAGTTATTAAGTTATTAAGTTATGTATGAAAAATGTATGCACTCACTAACTAACTGTAAGTCGCTCTGGATAAGAGCGTCTGCTAAATGACTAAAATGTAAATGTAAATGTACCATGTCTAAATAAAAAGTGTTAACATGCTATTACAAACATGTTGTCTTCTGATATGTCTTCTGAGATGTCTTCCCAGAAGACATGTTGTGCAACGTCTTCTAATGTTTCACATCAGAGCTTTCTGAGAAATAATTCCTTTCTCATCTTTGCTCCCACAGACTGCAAAGCCTCTTCTACAAAAGTGAGTACACATACCCGTTCGCCAGTTTTAGTCTGTAGTGCTGATCTGTAGAACAGTGTACCTCTGATCTCTCCCTGTCCACCAGGCTCCTTGCAGGCACTATCATCTCCCACCTGGACAAAGTGGAGCGGGGCTATGACAACATGGATCACTACACAGCCAACTTTGAGCGGGAGAGGAGGTCACTGCTCACCATAGACTTTGTGAAAGGTAGGGAGTATAATGAGTATTATGAGTATACCAGTGCCAGTACACCCTCTTCACTTCCCTTGGCATTTCAATGTTCTTTCACGATGTGTCCAAAATCACTTCTTCCACTGCCATAGAGACTGTTTAAACTAATGATATACAGTGCCTTCGGAAAGTATTCAGACCCCTAGACTTTTTCCACATTTTGTTACGTTACAGCCTTATTCTAAAATTGATTCCAAAAAAGAAATTCCTCACCAATCTACACACAATACCCTATAATGACAAAGCAAAAACAGGTTTTTAGAATTTTTTGCTAATTTATTAAAATATATATATATATATATCACATTTACTTAAGTATTCAGACCCTTTACTCAGTACTTTGTTGAAGCACCTTTGGCAGCGATTACCCTACAAGTGTGGCACATCTGTATTTGGGGAGTTTCTCCCATTCTTCTCTGTAGATCCTCTCAAGCTCTGTCAGGTTGGATGTGGAGCGTTGCTGTACAGCTATTTTCAGGTCTCTCCAGAGATGTTAGATCGGGTTCAAGTCTGGGCTCTGCCTGGGCCACTCAAGAACATTCAGAGACTTGTCCCAAAGCCACTCCTGCGTTGTCTTGGCTGTGTGCTTAGGGTCGTTGTCCTGTTTGAAGGTGAACCTTCGCCCAAGTCTGAGGACCTGAGCACTCTGGAGCAGATTTTCATCAAGGATCTGGGACATCACCAAATTCACTGAGAATACATTAGCTAGGATGAAGTAACATATACTCTAAGCCGCAGCTCCATACTACTTCTCAAACATAGAGAACAGATACTATATACTCGTTGTTGGGGTGGGATTGGCGTGGGGGTCAGTGGATGGCTTTTGACCATTTCTTTGGATTCCTCATGTCTTGCTCATTGTTAGAAAAAAGTTTGGTCCAAATTGGATGCGAGGTAATTACTGAACATTATATGAATCCTAGAAATTAAAAAATCGTAGTTTTATACATTAGCCAAAAAAATCTAAAATCCTGTTTTCGCTTTGTCATTATGGGATATTGTGTGTAGATTGCTTAGGATTTTTATTTATTCAATCAATTTTAGAGTAAGGCTGTAACGTAACAAAATGTGGAAAAAGTCAAGGGGTCTGAGTACTTTCCGAAGGCACTGTAAATAACAAGAACAAGATAAAAGAAAAACTCAGAAGCACTTTCCAATTATACAATAAAAACAACTCTTATTTTGAACTCTAATTGTTGTTCAGATGATGAAGATGATGATGATGAGTTTGAAGATGGAGAAGAGGAAGTAGAAGTTAGTGGGGTGACAGGGGTGACCCGTACAGAGGTCTCTCCTGCTGCCACAGTGGCGGGAACGGTTGGGGCCAATCCTCCAAAGCCCCAGCAGACATCACACCCACCCCTGCCTCAGAGACCTACTGAAACCCTAGGCGCCACCGCTACCCTGGCCACCCCACAGGCTCCCACCCATGCAACAACCCCAGTACAATTCCCATCCTTAAACCCAACCCCAACTGCCAGCGCACAGGCCTGCGCCACAAGCCCAGTCCACTTCCCAACCACAACCCCGGTTCAGTTCCCAAACACAACCCCGGTCAACTTCCCATCAGCAGAGCCACCGACACAGGTGAGAGAAACATCTGTGACACACTACAGCCTAGCCAGGAGACTTACTGTAAATGTCTCTGCATAATAAATTATATAATAACAATAATACATGAGCCCTGGCTAACACCATTCCAGCAGCCGTCTTGTAAGGGCCTTTAAAGAGAGTGTGTATTTCTCAAGTAAACCCCAAGTGCAGTGACAGTCGAGGTCATATTTGAGTTCACTAACCGTATGGATTATGGGCGGCAGGTAGCCTAGTGGTTAAGAGAATTGGGTAAGTAACCGAAAGGTCGCTGGTTTGAATCCCAGAGCCAAGTAGGTAAAAAAATCTGTTGATGTGTCCTTGAGCAAGGCACTTAACCCTAATTGCTCCTGTAAGTCGCTCTGGATAAGACTGTCTGCTAAATGACAACATTTTTTACAATATATATATATATATATATACAGCACCAGTCCAAGACCAAGTCCGTATTATGGCAAGAACAGCTCAAATAAGCAAAGAGAAACGACAGTAATAATATAATAATAATATGCCATTTAGCAGACGCTTTTATCCAAAGCGACTTACAGTCATGTGTGCATACATTTTTACGTATGGGTGGTCCCGGGGATCGAACCCACTACCCTGGCGTTACAAGCGCCATGCTCTACTAATTGAGCTACAGAGGACCACACTCTGTCCAGCAGTCCATCATTACTTTAAGACGTGAAGGTCAATCAATCCGGAAAATGTCAAGAACTTTGAACGTTTCTTCAAGTGCAGTCGCAAAAACCATCAAGCGCTATAATGAAACTGGCTCTCATGAGGACCGCCACAGGAAAGGAAGACCCAGATTTACCTCTGCTGCAGAGGATAAGTTCATTAGAGTTAACTGCACCTCAGATTGCAGCCCAAATAAATGCTTCACAGAGTTCAAGTAACAGTCACATCTCAACATCAACTGTTCAGAGGAGACTGCGTGAATCAGGCCTTCTTGGTCGAATTGCTGCAAAGAAACCACTACTAAAGGACACCAATAATAAGAAGAAACTTGCTTGGGCAAAGAAACACGAGCAATGGACATTAGACCGGTGGAAATATGTTCTTTGGTCTGATGAGTCCAAATTTGAGATTTTTGGTTCCAACCACTGTGTCTTTGTGAGACGCAGAGTAGGTGAACGGATGATCTCCGCATGTGTGGTGCCCACCGTGAAGCATGGAGGAGGAGGTGTTATGGTGTGGGGGTGGTTTGCTGGTGACACTGTCTGTGATTTATTTAGAATTCAAGGCACACTTAACCAGCATGGCTACCGCAGCATTCTGCAGCGATACACCATCCCATCTGGTTTGCCCTTAGTGGGACAATCATTTTTTTAACAGGACAATGACCCAACACACCTCCAGGCTGTGTAAGGGCTATTTGACCAAGAAGGAGAGTGATGGAGTGCTGCATCAGATAACCTGGCCTCCACAATCACCCGACCTCAACCCAATTGAGATGGTTTGGGATGAGTTGGACCGCAGAGTAAAGGAAAAGTAGCCAACAAGTGCTCAGTATTTGTGGGAACTCCTTCAAGACTGTTGGAAAAGCATTCCTCATTAAGCTGGTTTAGAGAATACCAAGCGTGTGCAAAGCTGTCATCAAGGCAACGGGTGGCTAGTTTGAAGAATCTCAAATATAATAGTTTGATGTCTTCACTATTATTCTGCAATGTAGAAAATAGTAAAAATAAAGAAAAACCCTTGAATGAGTAGGTGTGTCCAAACTTTTCACTGGTACTGTATATATATATTTATTGTAACATTTACATTTAATTTTGCTTGACTTTAATCTCCTGCTCTCTGTATGAGGAAAAAATGGTTGTTAAAACCAGTCAATATCCAGCTCCGAGTTAGCCTGCATGGAACCTGGCCAGGGTTACAGAAGTGGCTTTCACCTCAGCAGGAGGCTTTAATGATGAGACACCTGCCTGCTCTCTGGTTGCCGGGGTCCTGCGTGTGAGGGGTGAAGCAAGGAGGGGGACACTGCTGTTTTCATTGGGATAATTATCAGCCACTCTGTTACATGTCATCACCATTGAGTTAATTTACATGTGAAGTGCTAATTTGAATGAGCATAGAGTTCACACCAACATAATCAGGTGGATTCAAATTAAAAGTGAAAAGCCACCTGGAACAGTTTGTATTCATTCCAGAGGGGAAAAATGGCTTGGAGAGCTTACTGATTCATAGAGGCGATTATCATAAAGTGTCTTTGTGTGGTAAAAGTGTGTTTGTGTGTGTGTGTGTGTGTGTGTGTGTGTGTGTGTGTGTGTGTGTGTGTGTGTGTGTGTGTGTGTGTGTGTGTGTGTGTGTGTGTGTGTGTGTGTGTGTGTGTGTGTGTGTGTGTGTGTGTGTGTGTGTGTGTGTGTGCGCGCGCATAACCTAAAATCATCACTTCATGTTGCATACAAGAACTCTAATAATCCTGAAGAAATAAAGCTGGGTTGTTTTGTTTCTTCACAGGAAGTAGCTTTCTGTGTCACAGTTGTGGCTTTGTTTATTGTACTGCATCAGCTTTGGAGTCTGATAAAGTCTACCATTATTGAACTTTTGGGTAGGATATGTTTATTTCTTCATTTGTGCACTGACTAATACTTAAGCAGTCAGTCTATAACACTTAAAAGGTTACCTTTAAATTGAAAACATGAGAAGCTTAAATTCAGTGCAATTTTATTTTATCAGATCAAATTGCTGTCTGCTATTGTATACTCTGAAGTTATTGTATGGGTATGGATGTGGTAATTCAGGACATCATGTTGATTGATACAGGAAATCATGTGGGCATCTATATATTTTAGAGTAATTTTGAATCTCGTATCTCAAAGTAGCTCTTAAGACTACTAAATACTTGATTTCCTTCATGAAAATTGTGTTAAATTAGTGATTTGGAATATGAAAATACAATATATATTCCACTCTGAATGTCAAATGTTATCATCGTTTTAGTTAATTTGCATGGTCATATCGAAATTTTATAGATTTCAGAAATATTTATAAGTATTCTGTCTAAATAAGACTTTACTTGTTCAGTATGCATTGCGAGTTTTTATTTTGATCGCATTTACAAACCCCATTCTGAACAATTTACTATTTATACTTCGAGTAGCTTCGCAATAGTTCAGTGACATAAGGGACATCTAATGGTTTTGCTCTATGTTTTTCACAGATGTCCTCTGATACCGCATCAAGTCAGCAAAACACAGATGACAAAGATGGACCTAAACATGTCTTCTCCTTTTCTTGGCTGAACAACCAGAAGTAGATTATCATCTTACCTCAAGACTATAATGAAATTGTTGTAATACTACATTGTTTTGATTGAGTCAGCATCCTGCTGCAGGAACGGTTTAAATAAGTACTCTGTTACCGTTGAATAACTGTAATTTATCTGTAAATGCTCTCTAGCACTTACAGTATATTCGTCATACTGTGAAAACAAACGTCATTGGGCAGATATTTGATTTGAGAAAGCTGGCGTAATTTGGCACACCTTCGTGCAATAGATTTACGGTCGAAATGTATTTAGACACTCAATTTAGGCTACACAGCAAGCAATAAATGTAACTTTTAAACTTGTTTATTACAAATATAAATATTAGACATTCTCTTGCACAACAAATGTGATTGGTTGCTCATATTGTATTTTATTATCAAACTTTAACCAGTTGTACAATGAGAAGGAATTTCAGAAAGAGATGATGAATGTGTGACTAACAATATATACAAAATATGTTATGCTTGAATATAAATTAATACAATTAAAGGATATTTGTTCAGTTTCAGCATTTCAATGTGCTTCTCATCAAACAGTGTAATAACTATACAGCGAATTACAACTCGATTTTACAGCTCTCGTTTAAATACATACAAATGATACATAAAATAACGAACGTTAAAGAGTAATACAGAAATGGAATAGTACCGTACACTTTGTGCAAGATGTAAACAAATTATTTGGCAAATGTATTTCTAACCCTTTCATTTCCCGAATATGTCCATCATTTTCCGGTTACTATTTGCCTGCTGTGCTAATTGCTCGGCTCGAGCCATTTCTAGAACTTCCCTCAGCAGGTGGAATGTCAGGTCCAAAGAGATCGGTGGCTCTTCGCCCAACCCGGACCTCTTTCCTCTCTCCATGGAATCACCCATCTGGTTAGCGTAGCTGTTCAGAAACCGATTGATGTCACCGACTTTACCTTGCAGAAGGCGCTGCGTGAGCTGAAGTTGTAAAGCCCTGTTGACCGTTGTTGAGGGCGCAGCAGCTTCAGGAGATGTGTTCGGCGAGGACGACTGGAGTGAATTTGTATTGGAGTTGTCAAGCCGAATGAAATACTCCTCTCCTAGTCGCAGAAGAACAGGGAGTTGCTGTTGCAGCTCTGCCTGTAGATTGTGGGATGGATGGACCGCCCCGGGGTTTTCAATAGCTCTACATTCATAGCGAGGTTGGAAGGCACCAAGTAGAGCCACGGCGGAAACGAAGACATTCAACTTCATCTCAGGAGATTGGGAGGATTCTGAGAATAAAATATAGGCACATTTTTATCATATGCATAATCACAATCAAATTAACTAAAGTGAAGATGCATGTTAAGTAGCCTAGGCTGGGAGTGTCCCTTTGACAAAAAGTTGTATTTTCATATGCTACAAAGACTGATTTTGTATTTTATCTGTATTTTATTTGCATTGAAAACAAAATAAAAGCAGTATAACTATAATATGTTATTATTTAATTGCTTTTATGTTAACTATGTCCACCTCATCGAATAATAGTATTTAATACTGTATAAAAGTCAACAGTTAAGTACTGCAATTTATGGTAAATGGGCTACATTTCTATCAATAATTTAATTCTCTGCACACAACACCACAACTATTTCCCTAAAATAAATAAACAAACAATTCAAGTTGTTGTCAAATACCTGAGTTTAACTGTGACAGAAGATTTTTCTTTGAAGTTGCTATGAAAAGGATATCCTCTTCTACAATAATTTTGCCTTCCAATGAACCTGCAACAGTGCGTTTTCAAAAAAGCATTGAAACAAGACTTATATATCATAGACCTGAGGCCATCATCGCGCTCTGACATGAATCATGATGGTCTGCGCAAGCGCTAATGTAAAGAAGACAAGGCAAACCTGAATATGAATGGGGAGCATTCCTCAGTCCACAATGGTCCCACAATGGGGTTAATATCAGATGAGTCATACAGTAATTGGAATGTGTTGTTTTCTAGAGTGCCATTGTTCAACTAACTATGGATGTGGCCTTGCTCCTGAATGAATGAATGAATGAATTCATTCATTCATTAATTATATGGACAGTGGTACAGGGTTAATAGTAAAATGCAATCTTCATTATCATCACCACCACCATCATCATCATTATGATACAGATTTTTACCCACAATAAAGTAAGGAATTGGTTTTGAATGACTCAATATTGTTTGTTCCAAAGTGGATGCAAAGTATTATATACTGAACAAAAATATAAACACAACATGTAAAGTGTTGGGCCAGTATGAAAAATAAAAAAGAATAATGTATGCACTAACTGTAAGTCGCTCTGGATAAGAGCGTCTGCTAAATGACGTGTAAAAAACGTGTAAATGTGTTGGTCCCATGTTTCATGAGCAGAAATAAAAGATCCCAGAAATGTTCCATATGCATAAAAAGCTGATTTCTCAGCAATTATGTGCAAACATTTGTTTACATCCCTGTTAGTGAGCATTTCTAATTTGCCAAGATAATCCATCTACCTGACAGGTGTGGCATATCAAGAAGCTGATTAAACAGCATGATCATTACACAGGTGCACTTTGTGCTGGGGACAATAAAAGGCCACTCTAAAATGTGCAGTTTTATCACACAACACAATGCTACAGATGTCTAAAGTTTTGAGGGACGTGCAATTGGCATTCTGACTGCAGGAATGTCCACCAGAGCTGTTGCCAGAGAATTTAGTGTTCATTTCTCTACCATAAGCCGCCTCCAACATCATTTTAGAGAATTTGGCAGTACGTCCAACCGGCCTTACAACCGCAGACCACATGTAACCTCGCCAGCCCAGGACATCCATATCCGGCTTCTTCACCTGCGGGATCGTCTGAGACCAGCCACCCGGACAGCTGTTGAAACTGAGGAGTATTTCTGTCTGTAATAAAGCCCTTTTGTGGGGAAAAACTCATTCTGATTGGCTGGGCCTGGCTCTCCAGTGGGTGGGCCTATGCCCAGTCATGTGAAATCCATAGATTAGGGCCTAATGAACTTATTTCAATTGACTGATTTCCTTATATGAACTGTAGCTCAATACATTTGTTAAAATTGTTGCATGTTGCGCTTATATTTTTCTTCAGTATATTTAAACAACAGGTGATTCGATATGGCAAGGGTCAACGCAATGGCAAAGGTCCAGGTACACCTACCAGCCTGCCAAACTGGCAAGAGAGGTGGGTGGCCTGCACTTATAGAATACAGGAAAGACACTTGTGACCTTTTCCAACTGAAATTATTTGGATTGAATCATTAACATTTCACACAGGACAACCTGAAATATCAGAACAGATTACGAGGTAGAAGTTGCATTTGAGGGAGAAAAAAGCAATTTCCTCAAGTATTTCACTGAATCATATTATCACCTATTAAAGAGTAGGTTATGCATATAGTTCATTCATACAGTATATAATATATAATGAAAGATATGACCTTATAACCTAGGTCTCAATCTGTTCACATGTCTGTATGTTTCCCTGACTGCACATACACAGAGGAGAGATGAACAACATCCAAGGCATTATAAAGGTATGGGCTGGGCCGCTCCTATAGCCAAATTCACCCTTGTTTTTTTCTGCAAAAAACGGCAAAAAACCCAGCTAAGAAAGCTAGAACCACAGATAAAAGGGAGTTAGAAAGAAGCACTAGGCCTACTTCTTTGCTAGAAGAACAGCTACTGGGGTTAAGCTATATCAGCTGATCATTGCTAATGTAGGCTAGATGAAACAGCGAGTTAGCTAGGCTATGCTGTCAAAATAGGCTAGCAGGCTAACTACTATAGTATTTACTCTGTTACTGACAAACAGTCAAACTGCAGTTGCCCCCTTCCCTGTCCCTGACTGTGAGACAAAACATGCTAGCAATTCCAAAGTAACCTACTGGCGGTATTCATTTCCAACTCACCGCCTCGAGCAGGTAGGAAGTTTGTGCATGCGACTGCGCACTGGAAGCAGTGGAAGAAGGGCGGAGGACGGGACGTTTTTCAAGATTAATGAGTTCTTGAGAAATTATCTAGTTTGATAGGCAATTAGTTGCATTTAAAGTTACAAGAGAGAATTGAGACTAAAAATAAAATGAAAAGTAGCCTAATTAGTTCAAAAGGGAACTTTTTAAATAGGAGGGCAAAAGGGCAGGTGCTCCAGCACCCCTAGCACTTTCTGTGCACATGCCTGGTTATGGGTTTAGGTCAGCCTAAAACCCTGGCATTATGCCACTCATGCACAAAGTGTAGGTGTGTGAAGTTGGCATTTCAATGAACAGTCCACTGGACTGTAGAAGAGGGCGAGCATGGCAAACACTTTTCATGGTTACATGAGAAACATTATTTGAGCTCAGGCTATGTAAGACATATTTTCACTAAGAATTATGTTATAAGAAAATTAGGTCATGCATCCCTTCAAGGGCCAAGTTTCACTAAGATCATAATTAGAGCTGTTGAATGTTTCTCTTCCCACAATAAATAAGGTCAGGTTGCGTCCCAAATGACACCCTATTATCTATACTTATTTTGATCAGGATCTGGTCAAAGGTAGTGCATATTTATAGACACCATTTGGGACGCACTCCAAATATTCATGTTGTATCAAATAAAACAAAATCAATAAAATCACATTTTATTTGTCACATGCGCCGAATACAACAGGTGTAGACCTTACCGTTAAATACTTATTTACAAGCACTTAACCAACAATGGAGTTCAATAAACTATTGATTCAGCAGTTACAGTCATATTAGGCTTAATTGGGAATAATGACAAGAAATACAAACAGCTGTTCAAACAAAATGTTCCACTAGATCCAGGAATGGAAATAGACAGGAATATCATTAGTCAAGTCAAGTTTATTTGTCATATGCATAGCATACACATGGTACACAGTACAATGAAATGCTTACTTGCAGGTTCACCTCTCAACAATGCAACATAACAAGGACAAATATATAAGCTCAATGTAATAAAAATAGAGTACATTTAGCAGAATATAAACACAAGGAAGTCACTCAAATAAATGCAGAGTAGGATATTTACACATTTGCCAGGGAGGGGAGGAGGATGTGTGAGTGAATGTGTGAGCGAGTGCATGTTTGCTAAGGAACGAAGAGTCCGTGCAAGCGCACTGGGCACACACTGTTTGAATCAACGTTGTTTCCAAGTCATTTCAATGAAATTACACTGTTGACGTGCAGGTGGTTGGCTCAGGTGTTCAGCAGTCCGATGGCTGTCTGATGAAGGCAGTAAATGACTATGAGTGTTTCTAATTCATCATCTCTGCTTTCTTCACTCAGCCAATTCATCAAAATCTGAATTTAATTCAATGCCTCTAAAAAGACAGAAGATGCATTATGATGATTCACCAATATATGATCTTGGAATCAAATGTGTATCTATTGTACATGTATTTGAAATAACTTAAGGGAGTGCAGGACACATTCCCTGGGATTTGTCTGTTACACTCCCACAGTTTTAGGGGGTCACACCTTTGTTCCACAGTGAATAATCTAAGTGAGATCTTTGAACTTCCTCATAACTTCAAAAATGCTGTCAGCTTCATTCACATTTTGGAGAAATCATTGGTCTGTTTTCAAAAGCTCATAAAGATACAAGATGGAGTTAAGTTGCTCTACCAAGCCATCTCCTGAGCAAGCTCATTATACAGTCCCAGAATTATCCAATGAATGAACCATGATGGGAGGACTTCTATTGGGACAGCATAAGATATGTATAGGGAGGTTATAGTCTTTGAAGTGCATTCCTGTCGGACAGGGCTGGGAGGAGGATGCACACAGGCACGCACGCACACATACCTCTGAGAGGTCGCTTAAAAGGATGAATTAAAGTTGCTTCGTTAGCATCTATGCCAGAGAAACAGTCAGCTCCGCCACTCGCTCTCAGCCTTTAAAGACACAACGCTTCCCTCCCTCCAACTTTCGTATGTCGTATTATTCTGTACGTAAATCCGTGACTCTCCATTTAGTATAACTTAGTTACGTTTCATATGGTATGTATTAATTTGTGGATGTCCATCATCCATTTCATATAATATTTTACGAATTACATTTCATATGATATGTCACGAATTTGCAAAATGTACAATATGTTACAAATTTGCAAAGCGTATGATACGTTACGAATTCCAATTTGTTGTGGCTAACGTTAGCTAGGCTAACGGTTAGGGTTCGGGGTTAGGGTTAGGGGTTAGGGTTAAGGTTAAGGTTAAGGTTAGGAGTTAGGTTAAAAGGTTAAGGTTAGGGTTAGGGTTACGGGTAGGGTTAGCTAAAAGGGTTAGGGTTAGGGGAAGGGTTAGCTAACATGCTAAGTTGTTTCAAAGTAGCTAAAAAGTAGTAAGTACTGTAGTTGAAAAGTTGCTAATTAGCTAAAATGCTAAAGTTGTCCGTGATGAGATTTGAACATGCAACTTATGGGTTGCTAGATGTTCGCGTTATACGCCCACCCATCATCCCCGACCAACCATCCTCCTTTCGTTTTTGCCTTAAGTAACCTTCTGTCTTATGTAACCATGCCAAACGTAACATATCATACTAATTTGAGTGTCCAGGATTTACTTTTACTATGTTACGTTTAGTCTATGAAACCAGGCTGCCCACTCACAATCCTTAGTTGCTGGACCACCACTAGGCATAGATGGTATATGGATTTGTAGGCTTTCCAATATGTATGTGTAGCTAGCCTAGTGATGATTACAAGATAAGACATGTATTTGGGTATCTCTGATGCTC